GATCGTATCGACTGTATGGTGGACTTAGTCGTCCTCTCCTAGAGAAATTTCATCTGTGGATGTATCCGACTATATGTGGATTGTAGTCGTCCTCTCCTGAGAAATTTCATCTCTGTAGATGTATGAGTTTGTATGTGGACTTGTAGTCGTCCTCTCCTGAGAAATTTCAGTCTGTGGAGTCGTATTGAGGCTGTATGGTGCGGGACTTGTCGGTAGTCCCCGTCCTCTCCCTGACGAAATTTCATCTCTGTGTGTGTGATGTATGACTGTATCGTGGACTGACGTCCGTCCTCTGCCTCGAGAATTTACTTTTTTCTTTTTGTCTCACTATAAGGCGGCGAGAGGAGACGTGGACGGAGAAGAAAGAGACAGGAAGCCCTCTATTGCTCTGTATTTGAGTCGATTCCAGCTGCCGTAGGACACGGAACCTCCTAAGCCGCGCCCCTCGGCCCGTGCGCCACTTAGGAGGTCGAAATCGTCCTTTGTCTCCGCCCCCGCCCCCCGTTACGGTAGTTAGTCTCGATCTTTAAGGTGTTGCCGGTGTCCCGTTCCTTGGTAATTTGTGTTGTTTGTTGTGTTGTGGTGTGGTGTGTGGTGTGTCGTGTGGTAGTGGTGTGTGTGTGTGTGTGTGTGTGTGTGTGTGTGTGTGTGGTGTGGGTGGTGTGTGTGTGGTGGTTGTGTTGTGTGTGTGGTGGTGGTGTGTGTGGTGTGTGGTGTGTGTGTGTGTGGGGTGTGTGTGTGTTGCAAGTTTCCCTCTTTGTCCATTGTGTGTGTATTGGTGTTTCTTGCGCGCCATACGGCCATTACTCTTCCAGTTCTTTAAGTAAATCTAATGCGCTCTATTTAAAAGAGGTTGTCGTCCCCACGTCGTGTGCTGGTGTTTCGTTACAACCCATTGCTAAATTTCCTATCAAAACTGAATACCGCTTTACACGAATATTAAAAACATCTGTAAAAACACCTGCGAGGCGTGTGATTGAGACTTTCGATGTCGGTCAATCGAATCGAATCGTTTTTCCTTGACGCTCGTCTCGTATGCGTCCATGTTTGGGTAGTTGCCGAGAGTTCCGAACATTAATTGTGTAATGGTATAAAATTCAGTATGTCACACAAAAGTATACTTCAGAAAAGACCGTACTGATATACAATAGTCAGAATTATAGTTCCTGTCGCCTTTCAGGTTGTCTCCAGCACGTTATTTTAGAGCGGTCGGTAGAAATTTTCTTTTCCAGATGCAACAGGCCTGCGGTCGCCCAAAGAATCCTAAATCTGAACCAGTTCTGAAGTACTTGTTGTAGTATCGAGTTTGCCTCTTCTTTAATTTTCCCAAAGAGGTAGTGTGAACAAAGTCTCAGCGAAGGCCACCACAAGTAGCTCTGCCTCAATTCTTGTCTTAGTTGGCTCTCGGTGTCCTTTTGTTTGACGAGTAATTGGTAAATGTGTACCACCGGGACAGCTATATGCTCCGAGTCTACGACACCATTCGCGTCGCCTCCATGCGAAGTAATCGCCTAAGTGGCCACCTTAGGCTAAAATACCCGAAGGTTGGAAAAGATCCGTAGAGAGAAGCTAAGAAACACCTTTGACTGTCTTATGTGATGGAATCTGAGATCGAAACTAAACACTTTCACTTCGATAAGGAATCGCCGACGGATTTTTCGTCGTAAGTGGAGACTCGGGGACAACCTGTCGAAGGGGGGGTATAACAGATGAGAGCGGGTAAATCTGAGACAATATTGACATATGGAGACATCTGATAGACATCTAACCATACAGATTACAGGCCAATCTTACATTAATGGGGGCTTTAGATTTTACTTTGTAAACATTATCGGTCAGACATACAGAACATACAGAATATGTACAAGAATTTACGTATACTACTTAACCTTACCCCTGGGACTACATTTTGGTTCTGCTTTCAGAATGAGAGACCAGACGTAGGGGAATTGTTAACATACAAAACACGACATGACATGAACAATGGGGTTATATGTCGACAATTAGGAAAGTTAGGTTAGTAGTAGTTACCGGATCGGAAACGGGTCCGAACAAAGAGAGTACATCCTCTGATCTATGGTAACTGTTCGTTTTGGTTCCTAACAGAGCAGGAAATCGAGATTTAAATGGCGCTACCCGTACAGATGAGTTACTAGAGGTATTTTGGTCTTTGTTTTATCTTCGTAGCGTCAAAGTGTAGCCGTGTGTCTAGCTACAAATGGGGTTACTTGGGTTTGTCTAGTACTCTTTGGGAGAGGTTGATTTACAAAACACAGAGAAATGGACTATTACGCTCCGAAAATCCTGGATCACCAGGGACTTAACACCGGATGTTGTGTCACCAATGAGTCCGTAGTAATCGTTAATAGAGGTGTCTATCATAAATACCCCTTGTAATCAATCTTACTCTAGGTTAAATCCCTCCTAAATAACCCCGAATTACAAAAAGTCGAAGGACTTGTCACCGGCTTGTATCGCTGTAGTTTACATGGGGGCGCGGGAAATACCCTTCGGTGTCACTTTGCGAAAAGAATTTTGGGACCTTTTTATAGGAAGGCCAAGGAAGAGCTATTTTTTACGATAGTCGAGAGGAGGTATCCTAAAACCTTTTTATCCGACCTTTTATTCCGCGGGCGCGCGCGCAAGCGTCTGTCTGTAACTTCTCTGGCGCTAGTGGCAAAACAAGCTAGAGGTGTAGAGAGAGTTGAAAAATTTAAAAGATTTAGAGTATTAGGGATGCAGTGGTCTCTCGTTTTTACGATGTGCAGGATTACGTATTTGCGCTGGACGCTCTGCCTGGACGCCTAGCCTGATGGCCTGGACCGCGCCCTGTCGCCGGAAGAGGCAGCGACGGGGGAGGGAGCCTTGAGTGAGGGTGTGGGTAGGTCTCTGACGTGCTGGGGAGTGGTGGAAGTTGTAGTGTTTTGAGTGGAGAAGTTAGACGAAGAAGTACAACACTAACAAACATAAGTAAATCTGAAATGAAATTGATAATATAAAAAACAACATGAGTTATTATACTACACAAACTCAAGCAGTGTCAAGTTGATGAATAAAAATATTCCATCCATCCATCCATCCATCTTCTCCGCTTATCCGTGGTCGGGTCTCGGGGGTATCAGTTCCAACAGAGAGCCCCAAACGTTCCTTTCCCCTCATCAACCAGCTCTGACTGGAGGACCCCAAGGCGCTCCCAGGCCAGCGAAGAGATATAATCCCTCCACCTGGTCCTAGGTCTACCCCTCGGTCTCCTCGCATCCTAACTAGGTGGCATCCTAACTAGGTGCCCTAACCACCTCAACTGGCTCCTTTCGACGCGAAGGAGGAGCGGTTCAACTCCGAGTCCCTCCCGGATGACTGAACTTCTCACCTTATCCCTAAGGGAGACACCAGCCACCCTGCGGAGAAAACCCATCTCGGCCGCTTGTATCCGCAATCTCGTTCTTTCGGTCATGACCCATCCTTCATGACCAAATATTACTGACTCTAAATGATATATAAACGAATGATTTATTTAATTACACATCCGAAAAGTGTTCATCCAGAGGTGGAAGAAATATTCAGATCCTTTGAGTAAGTTAAAGTAGAAATACTGCAGTCTAAATATACTCCATTACAATTAAAATCCTGAACTCATTATTATGTAAAAGTACGGGTAAAATCCACCTAAATTATTAAAAGTAAAACACTTTATAAAATGATAATAATATTATTTAATACTTCATAATAATCGGATTATACTAATACTGTAGAGGCAATGTTAGGATAAGCTTTAGTTACCTTAACAACAAATAATTAAATATAATAATAATAATAATATGCAAGGTGTTTAGACAAAAATTGCAAAATGTAGATTTCCCCCATAAAATGTTAAAGCGATGCCAGAAAACAATCAGCAGAATGTGTGTGGATGTGTGTAGATGTGTGTAGATGTGTGTAGATGTGTGTAGATGTGTGTGGATGTGTGTAGATGTGTGTAGATGTGTGTGGATGTGTGTAGATGTGTGTAGATGTGTGTGGATGTGTGTAGATGTGTGTGGATGTGTGTGGATGTGTGTAAATGTGTGTGGATGTGTGTAGATGTGTGTAGATGTGGATGTCTGTGGATTCCTAGAGCCTCATTCATGTGACACAGTTTCAGAGCAAGTGGAACATTCATGCATGAATGAGGTGTGAATGGGTAAATGACTCGTAGTATGTGAAGCTTTGAGGGGTCTAAAAGACTGGATAAAGAGACAGAGGTAGTGGAATACAAATACTTCCTTACTGTACTTAAGTACATTTTTCTGGTATCAGTACTTTACTACACTACTTATTTTTCTGACTACTTTTTACTTTTACTTCTTACATGTTGAACACAAATACCTGTACTTTCTACTTCTTACATGTTGAACACAAATACCTGTACTTTCTACTTCTTACATGTTGAACACAAATACCNNGATGTGTGTGGATGTGTGTAGATGTGTATAGATGTGTGTAGATGTGTGTAGATGTGTGTAGATGTGTATAGATGTGTGTAGATGTGTGTAGATGTGTGTAGATGTGTGTGGATGTGTGTAGATGTGTATAGATGTGTGTAGATGTGTGTAGATGTGTATAGATGTGTGTAGATGTGTGTAGATGTGTGTGGATGTGTGTAGATGTGTGTAGATGTGTGT